ATATCCTGGAAGCAGGCCACACCCCTAGGGAACCTCCCCTTGGGCAGATTGGCCACTCAGAACACAGTCATCCGATCCCATCATGGGAACAACCACACAGAATTGGGGTCCAGTCAAGTTGAGACACAGCTTCAACTATCACAATAATCTTTTCAGATCCCTTGAACATGTTTTTAATTCTAGGATTCTGGAAGTATTTTTAAAATATTTAAAAAGTGAAGGGTAGTAACTATTAATAACATATATGATCATTATGGACTCTTTAGTTCTAATCTCAGTAATCCGTCTATTAACTAAAGTCATTTGTCTGGACAATACTATGTCTGCGCCAATTATTCTCTTAGCATTTAATCATATCACTGCTTCTTCTAAAAGATCATTAATTTCCCACTTATCAAAGAGTATTGTATATTAAAAAAAAAACATGCTTGGAGGAGAACATAGAATAATGATATAAACAGCAACATTGAAGAAACGAGATTTCTTACTTCATTGGCAGTTCAATAAGCTATTGGACTACTACCATTTTCACTTGTTTAATGTGTGACTTCTGGACTTTAACTTTTAATGTGAGTGGAACTCACATCTCATATGGAGTTACATGGCACAATAGACATTTTCTACTTTTGGGCCTGTGGTAGGTGAAATGCTCAAAAACAACACTCTAGATCAGTAAAAGTAATCCTAGTAAGAATATAGTTAATGCATATGTGAATAGTAGGAAATTTCTGTGGTGGTAAATATGCAGATTTCTCATTTTAATGTTGTCTTGATTCTAATGTTCAGAGTATTATGTCTTACCAGAGATTTCCTTTAGAGCTTGTCTCTTAATTTTATAGTATAGAGTTAGGTTTATAGCTCATTTATGCTATATTTTACCATTTTTCTATGAAAAAAAATCTAAAATCATGTATTAATTCTATGTTACATGAAAACTTAAAATAAAACTCTGCTATAAATCAAAGTTCAGGATATAGAATTAAAGGTATTGTATATTCATAGTACTGTTAAGTTTCTCCAAGCATTTTTTATTTAAGATTTGATAAATAAAACATGTTGTGTATCATTACTTGCTTAAAGGGAAATTGGACAACAAATACCATTATAAGCATATTGTCCAACTCTCCTTCAAGTAAGTGAAATAAATGGCTAAAGTTAGTTTCAAAAATACTGGGTGGATTAGCTTTTTTTAAAAGCATGCAACTTACCTTTGTTGTTGTTAGGTGCTATTGAGTGAGTTCTGACTTACAGCAATAGAACAAAACACAGCCTGGTCCTATGCTGTCCTCACAATCATTGCTATGTGTGAGTCCATTGTTGCAGCTAATGTGTGTTGAGGGTTTTCCTGTTTTTCACTGATTCTCCACTTTATCAAGCATAATGTTCTCTTCCAGGGACTATTCCCTCGTGATAACATCCCCAAAGTACATGAGACAAAGCCTTTGCATCCTTGCTTCATGGGAATATTCTGGCTGTACTTTCAAGACAAATTTATTCAGTTTTCTGGCAGTGCATGTTATATTTATTCTTCACCAACACCACAATACAAAGAAATCAGTTCTTTGGTCTTCCTTATTTAATGTCCAGCTTTTTCATGTATAGAAGGGGATT